TGTATGGATTCTGAAGGACATGGTGATGTTTTGGGTGTGCAGGCCGTTATAAGTTGCTGGAAACAGCTTTTGTGTTTCTTGAGTGTAGTAGGTAAATTGTGTTGTGTACCTTGATTCCTCCGGACTGTACTCTGTTTTGGGAGTATTTCTTATGCTCCTTCTCTAATACATATCGTATGTTGCTTTGCTGATCAAAAAAAAAAAAAGAATTGAAATTCATGGGGTAGGTAAGGTATTTGAAATACATACAATTTTTATTTTGAAATATACAATTTCAAATACACTCTTATTTAATGTAAACAAATAATGTATTTGAGTTTGGGCGTCCCAAATTTAAATACACTCCAACCAAACTAACGTTCCCAAACAAAGCAATGGTTTTCTATTTGATCCCTAAAGTTTTTTTTTGGTAGTTTAGTCCCAAACGTTTTACTCCTTTCAATTAGGTTCTTTAGTTCAGTCAGGTCTGCCAATATTTTTGAATCGTTAGAATTAGCAGAGTATCAGAAAAGGACGGACAATATTGGGCTTAATTTTCGTAGCCCAATCTCTTTAGGTTCGGCTCATGGTTCTTTGTGGGTTTAAAGTAGCCCAACATAATTGAGGACTCGAAAGAGAGGTCTGTGAGTGTTTGGTTTGGGCTGCTTAGCTTCAACCTTACTTTATGGTCTTTAAAGTCCATTAAGTAAACAATGAAACATAGTTTTTTAGCCCACTATATAAAGCCCTGCTCAAGTGTAAAAAACAGTATGAATTAGGAAAGAAACCTCTACTACTTGAAGTGATCAATTTGCAAAAGAATAACATTTCATTACTTCTTTTTTTTTCCTTGACAATTCCTTTTATTTTCTTGGAATAAGATCTGAAAAATTCATTAACAGGATATTCATATCCAGCTGATCTGAAAAGAAAGGAGAGAGAAGAGTGCGCTTCAGATTTGCCTCCATAAAAAAATAGAAGTTAGCTTTGTGCTTTAATTTTTTTTGGAGATGGATAGTTCAGATCCTCCATATATATAGATATCAGAGATATATATATATATATACCCCATTATGGCAAACCGGCCTGGCCCCTAGCCTTTGCTCTAACTTTTTTTTTTCTTTGGTTTGGATGTTTAAAATGTATGTATCTTTTAGGTTAGCTTTCACACATAAGAAATAATTTTTTTTATTAACAATCTTAAGAGTATATTCTTTAAATTAATCTATTATATTAAAAAAATTAAATTTTTTAAATATTAATTTAAAAACTTAAATTTTAAATATAACCTATAAAATAATACTTAATTATGATAGTAAATCTAATTCTAAGGTTCTTAGACTTTATCCTAAAGCAACAACTCTTATTTCTTTGATATAATTGGTGTATAATTATCTTATCCTATTACGAAAAACAAAAAGAAAAGTAAAGCACGTGATATGTCACATTCAATCTCATCACCATAAAATCTTAATATATGATCAATACCCATCCTCTGGGTGCTTGATGGTCAAAGATTCCTTTCATATCTTTTGGGGTTGTTATTTAACCTCAAGTTTTGCTGCAAGAAATAACAGTATTTTATTTTTGTCATTCTCTTCACAATATACGGTTAATATATGGGTTGAATATTCTTTATATTTAATATTAATAAATGTTTTTACATTTTACCTCTAAAAAAAATACTTTTTCATTTCCCTTCTTTACCTTTAAATTTTTACTTTTTAATCCTCACTTGTCCTTTTTTTTCAAATATAGTAATTTGCATTGTTAAACTATTGATTAATAATTATTGAATTGTACGGAAGGCACAACGACCACGGCAGTGGCACATACACAACAAAGTCAGGCTGTGGTGTACATGTATTCAACAAACAGCGTACTGATAACAGATGGCTATTTCCTATTTGACCGAATCTGGAAGTGAATACATTTAATTGGCAAGTAGTACAACAAAAAAAATTTCAGTTAAATGTATTATTTTAACTTATACATTAACAATGTATTTATTGTATTTTTATTATTAATTTTTATAAAAAAATAAAAAAATTAAA